TTCTGAAAAAATAAAAACACAAAAATCCCTTACATACTTTTAATCATGCATAATATAAATATATACTCTATTTCCAACTTGATCATCACACCCTGTCCTGAAAAACTTACTGAAACTGTTCGTATCACAAACAATTATATAATAAAATATGTTTAAAAACGTTAAGTGTTTTGTTATTAGTTATTTGAGGAACGCATCTGTCTGTTTATAAAAACATATTAAAACTAAATGATATGTATGAAGAATCTGGTTGAAAATAAACGTTAGTGATACTCTTGAAAATAAAAAGTGTATCATTACCAATAATAAATGAGCAACAACATGTCTCTTATTTGTTCACACTCACAACGCTAGAAACCGGTTTCGAGACCCGAGGTGGGCAGAGCACAGATAGCCCATTGTGTACCTTTGTGCATAATTACAACCAAACAAACAAACAATTTGTTCGCACATTAGGAGAGCATACGTATAAAGGTTCACAGGATTCTGGCGTTGTAATTTCGTGGACCTGCCACTGTCCCATCGGGGTACAATGTAAGTAAGATTAAGTTATTTTTCTTCTACCTCTTTTTTGAAATTAAGTATTTGGTATTTGCAACCAGAATGGCACCTTAAGCGACACAGATATTAAGCGGCCAAGTCAAGAGACCCTGAGTTTCAGGCCATACCATCTTTAATTTAGAATTGCTGGTCAGAGGGAGGGAAATCAATTAGCAGCACCCACCGATAACAGTCCACTCTTACATGCCTAGTAGGATCGTTTGTCATGGTTATAGTGCCCCAATAGCTAAAATTGTGGAGAGTGTTCAGTGTAATATAGAGACTCGAGCCTTGAACACGTCGATATGCTGCCCGACGCACTAGCCACTAAGCCAGGGTTTCCCAACCTTTTAAACCTCAAGGTCCACTTAATTATTTGGCATATTGGTAAAGTATCATATGTCCTGTTGATGACTCGTTAACTCAGGACAATCACAGCTATCTTGGCCAGTGGCAACCCATAACTGCGCGTCTAACGACCCACCAGTTGAAAATAATTGTACTAGACCACATAAGCTCGAAATTAATTATTAGTAAAAAAAATATATGTTTTTTTTAAACTCTAACAATATTGTTGGTAGAGACTAATAACCTTTAACATTTTGTTGCCAAAGAGATCCCGCAACTGATTCATAAAACGTTACTTATGTCAGATTATCAGAGTATTTTTATAACTTCGTCAGAAGAGTTATATTCGTACTAGCGAAACTGTTCTATCTCTAGTCAATGGCCCCCCAGTGGCACAGCGGTATGTCTGCGGACTTACAACGCTAAAATCCAGGTTTCGATACCCGTGGTGGGCAGAGCACAGATAGCCCATTGTGTAGCTTTGTGCTTAATTACAAACAAACAAACTCTCGTCAATAATAAAGCCAGTGCAAACTGAACTGGGTTCGAACCTCATTTCATTAAACCTGTCTTACTAACACTTGAAGGTTAAGAATGTGTTGCCATGATGGAAGAAACATCTGTAGGATGTTCAGTTTCCATATAAGCTAATGTTATAGTACAACGTGATGCTTTAAACTGGATGAAGTGTACAGGAATTGGTCATCCCTATCGTCACAGGTCACATTCGTTTGAAAATGATTGTATCTTTTATTGAAACCTTTATCAAACTTAATTATTTAATATTTTTGACGTCTTACTATATCATCGAGTTGTTTGTGCAATGTTTCACAATAGGCTTAATTCATTCGTCATTGTGTTAGTTTCTGAGTAACATGGTAGCGAGTGTACAGAAATATATCAAGGAAGAGGTGTTTAATAATGTGTTTAAAACAGGTAAAGAGCACAGTGTGTCACAGACAACCAATAGAATACTCACAAAACAACCTTCTTGATGACGTAACCGTGAAATACATTTTTAGTAATAAACATCGTTAAAATACGTTTCTTACATAAACAAGTTTTTCAAAACAGCCAGCTCTTTGTTTTTAAAGATATAAAGTTAGTTTTGATATATATATCGTTTTCAGAAATTTAAAATCACAACTAATACAATATTTTTTTAGTGATATAACATAATCTCTTTTCGAGTGGACCAAAGATTTTATATAATGGACTAATCCGAATTTGAAATATCTAAACAAATGACAATTCTCGTTAGTAATTACCTCTCTGTTGACGCCACATTTGTGATGACGTAATTAAACGAATATGGATCGTTATTGTCAATTTTGACTTATTAGTATGTGAAAGTTCAGATTAGATTAATGCTACAGCTAATTGCTTCCCTGTCTTGACTCGTAAATGCTTCACACAAAATTGTAGGATTGCAAAAGATCATATCAGTAAACAGATTACGCCAAGTTTTTTTTTCATTTCTTTGATAACGTTATTAGTAACTACAAATCTATATGTGCGGTGTAGCATTTGTTGATTTAACCTTATCAATCCCAAACATTAACATTGGAGTGTGTTGTATTCAAGATAACCAACAGATGAGCAGGCAGGCAGGCAGATAGATAGATAGAATATTTCTATAAAAAAAATCATCACTACAAGCTGAAGTATGAAACAAACACACGACAAGATATCAGCACGTATAATTTTTTTGCAGGAAATATGAAGGCGTAACACATTTTATACGGACGAATAGGGCCCATACGACGAAGGAGACACACCGTCCATATCCAAGTTCGAGTCTAGTAGGAGTATTTGTTTAGGCTTACGATACAACCTGACCCTTAACCGCTTACTTCTCACGGTCCACGAGCAAAACAGGTATCTGCCCGTGCTGCTTAATCATTTATTAGAAGCTTTAACTACAGTAGACTTATCAGAAACTGTTAGTTTATGTATATTATTGAAACAAAAAGCAAGAAAATAACATTCATTTCCAACATAAGTATATACTTTACAAAGCGTGGCAAGTGTCTTTTTTAAGTATTTAATTAACAAATCAGTTGTCGTTTTCATATACACACACACACACCCAGTATGTAGCTTTTGTCTATCAAGGCTAATACAGAACAGCCCATCAGTAGAAGCTATGGCGTCACGAGGGAATCAATATAGTGGGCGTGGCAACAGTTAAAAACAACTGCATGCTAAAATGTATTGCATAATAAAAGTATGAAAGAATAGATGATATTAAAACCAAATTATGTTTATCAACCAATTAACCAGTCAGTGTACATTTCACTGAGTTTTACAATAAAGCACATTACACATGGATTTGCTTTTCTCTCTTTTTTTCATAAGCTCCTCCCATACAATGAAAATTAAGAGCTGGGACTGTATGGCTCCAAAAGTAATTGCTAAGCCTTATTCACTTTTTTCAACTGTCACGTATCCCTGTCTATGTAAAGAGTTTAGATGTCATAGGAAAATTTTCAGTTCTGTCCAGAAGCGAATTGTATGATGTGGTACATTTGTCTGTGCTTTTTTGATTTTTCAGTGGACAACAAGAAGGACATGCTAGAACAACTACGCTGCCACTATGGTAAATACAGTCGCCAGTTAATACGGGATATGTGGTAGGGATATAATCATTTATTATACAGCATTCAAGTGCTTTCACGAAGAAAATCAGATCACGTCTTTGAAAACTAACGTTTTTAGAATCAAGCTGCCGGCTCAACAATCGACCGTTATAAGAGATAGAAATAACGATGATGCAAACAATATAATTCAATATTGATTAGAATTTAAAAGTTTGATCCTCAGCGCCATAATGTAAGACTAAGAACTTGCAATATTAAGTGAAACTATCGATGACTTTTTCACACATTCTTTTGTAATGAATAAACCAGCGTGTTCTGTTCTGGTATTTTCTTTAATTTTAAACACTTTCCAACGATGGAAATAGACGACTGGTATCTTACATTTTAACTCTTTCTTAATATATGTAAATTTTTATGTTTAATCCTACACAATTGAAATGTCTACAACACAGATAGTTTTCTTTTTTTTTTGGCAAATTAGTAGCGAAATAGTTAGATATATTGCACATGTAAGTGTAATACGTCAACAGTACATCAAGGTGCAAGATGGCATGTAAAACGTCAACAGTACATCAAGGTGCAAGATGGCATATAATACGTCAACAGTACATCAAGGTGCAAGATGGAATGTAATACGTCAACAGTACATCAAGGTGCAAGATGGCATGTAATACGTCAACAGTACATCAAGGTGCAAGATGGCATGTAATACGTCAACAGTACATCAAGGTGCAAGATAGCATGTAATACGTCATCAGTACATCAAGGTGCAAGATGGCATGTAATACGTCAACAATACATCAAGGTGGAAGATGGCATGTAATACGTCAACTGTACATCAAGGTGCAAGATGGCATGTAATACGTCAACTGTATATCAAGGTGCAAGATGGCATGTAATACGTCAACTGTATATCAAGGTGCAAGATGGCATGTAATACGTCAACAGTACATCAAGGTGCAAGATGGCATGTAATACGTCAACAGTACATCAAGGTGCAAGATGGCAATAGAACTAGAAGCTTCAGGCTATTTTCCCTGATAACTAAGGTACGTCAAAATTATTATAAAGTTCACCGGATTGATGCTATCAGCACTTTTTAAAAATTAAAATTATCAGGAAATTGGATTTCTGTGTATTTGATTCTTTGAAGTATAAAATTTTTCAAGAATTTCCAGAGCCTCTTAAGAGCGCAGTCAGATTAGTAACTTGATACTATAATAGAAATGAATCAAAAATAAACTTTTTTTTTTACCTTCACCGATTCTGTTGCAGCCTGCTCTGTGGTTGGATAGATGGGCGTAGTTCAGTTCTATGTAGTGGACAGAAGTCGAAGCCATAAAACTGCAGGGACCTTCAGGGCATCGTAGAAATAACGAGGGTGTGATCTAACGAACCGTCCATGACTAGAGTACGTCTTCACGCAATCACGGCTTTCCGAGTCCTGTCGCCGGGACGAACGGTAATCAGACGTCCGCGACCTGATCTCGTACGAACCGTATGATTGCTAGATCAGACAATTTCTGTATGTCTCTTCATGTGAAGTGACAGGTGGTCCGACCTAGAAAAAGCGCGTTCACATAGACGACATTGGAAAGGTCTGTCACCGGTGTGCTTTCGGTAGTGTCTGGTCAGTTCGTCTGAGCGAGCAAACTTCCAACCACACCCCTTCCACGTGCACTGATAAGGTTTCTCACCAGTATGAGTTCGAAGATGAGCTTTCAGGTGTGAACTTTTAGAATACGTTTTAGTACAGCCGGGATAAGAACATGTGTGAATCGTTACTTTTTTGGGGCCTCTGGAGCGGCGAACACGGCGAGGTTTGGGGGGTGGAGGATGAAGATTAACACCACCACATAATGTGTTGCCCACAACCGGCCCTCGGCCAGTAGCCAGCAACTCGGCAAGATGAGGAGAAGTTGGAGAAGTGACCATTCTGGATTGAGTAGGATAGGGGGAAGAATAACAATGGGGCATGGTTGTTGATGGATGAGGGCGTAATAATCCGGTGGATGCTTTGGCCATAGCGGGATGGTAGCCTCCGTAATGGTCAGCCTGATAAGTGTATCTGATTGCATGATTATCTGGAGTAGCGGGAGGAGAGACGTGATTACTCGGCATCGTACAGTTGTAGGCTGCCCAGTGACCACTGAAATATTCCGTACCTAAGTGGTTATGGTAATGCTGATTTTCAGTTTTGACATCAGACGATGCCGGGACGTACCTCTGGCCATAAGGGTTATGATTATACATATGAAGAGACTCTGTACCAATGACGTCAGGTAGCTGCTCAGTCAGAACCATTTCACATTTAACGTTAGAATTTAAAGGTGTTTCTTCGTTGTATGTCTGCTTAATGCCTTCTAATGTTATCCCTAAATCTATATCCAAGCGGCTTTCTTCCAGTCGGCAGGAATCTGCTAGCTGAGGCGGTGGCACGTACTGGAGCGTGGCTGCAGGCGATTGCAACTGCTGCTGTTGCTGCGATGTGAGCTGGTGTCCCGGCGGTACTACCGTGATCTCGGGCGAGTTGAGGGTGGAAGGTGGGAGTGATCGGGTGTCTGTCTGGACGGATTGCATTCCGTTATGAATACACGGGCTGTTCATGTCTCCTAACAAAACACTCTCGATGTCTTGCCACATCTGAAAGTAAGAAAGTAAAACTAAAAACATTCCGTTATGAATACACGGGCTGTTCATGTCTCCTAACAAAACACTCTCGATGTCTTGCCACATCTGAAAGTAAGAAAGTAAAACTAA